TAGGGCCCTGGTGCGGTTCCAATTCAGCCAATGATAGTTGATAATCTGTCATCTTTGAGAGCTTAACCAGGGCTCAGACTGAGGCCAGTTTGAGCTTCAGTATTGTACCAATCCAGCCAATACTTAACTGATCATCCGCCAGCTCCAGGGATTGCACCAGGACTCAAACTATGTAGAAAGCTCCCTGGGCCAGTACTTGAATCTAAGGTGAGGGTTTTCCCCTGGGGTCAAAAACCGTGTTTTGGATTCAAGTCAATACAGTAATTGCCGGAATGTGTGGCCAGGTTACTATTTAAGACACAATTAACTGGTCAATTGTGTCTTATGCATAATGTCTGCCAGGGGCCCAAAGTGCCCAATCACCTGCCTGACTTAAGACAAACACAGCTACCAACCTCTGTATTCTGCAGTTTATACATATGCAACGGATGGAGCTGGACAATTTAGGTACGTCCCTTTCTGGCACTGGGACACTGCTTATACCAGAGGCTCATTGCATTACAGGGAAACTTCAACTATTGCCAGCTCTTTTCTGGTGACATATGGCAGGGTTTGATTTGCTATTACAGGGTTTCATGTCTGGCCTTGATTTGCCTGAACCATATGTGTCAGATGCTGAATCCAAAACACCCTCCCTATGCTGGTATATGCCAATTGCTGGGAAGATCAAAGACCAATGTGGGTATCTTACACCAACTGTTGATCTATTTGTTAGGAACACAGACATATCAGAAAGATGTCACAATTCCAGGTAAGTTCGCTATTATATGCTTATCTAATATAGAGCTTACTGAGAGATTTCTCTGTGGTCATTGCCTTGCCCAGGTAATCCAAGAACTTTGTGGAGACTGTTGGGGACAACTTCCTAGTACGAGTGTTAGAGATCAGCTAGGAGCTGTGGTCTTCTTGCTTTGCTGCTCACAAAAAGAGAAGTCGTGGGGAACATAGAGCAGTGGAGTAAGGACCCTGGACTTCATAAAAGCAACAAAAATGGTTAAAGGGCTGGGGCACATGACTTCTGAGGAGAGGCTGAGGGAACTGGGCTTATTTAGTCTGGAGATGAGAAGACTGAAGGGAGATTTGATAGCAGCCTTCAATTACCTTATGGGTGGTTCCAAAGAGAATGGAGCTGGACTGTTCTCAGTGGTGACAGATGACAGAACAAGGAGCAGTGGTCTCAAGTTGCAACAAGGGAATTTTAGGTTTATATTAGGAAAAACTCTCTTACACGGAGGGTAGTAAAGCAGTGGGACAGGCTACCCAGAGAGGTTGTGGAGTCTACATCCTTGAAAGTTTTTAAGACCAGGCTAGACAAAGCTTTGGCTGAGATGATCTAGTTGAGGATGTTCCTGCTTTGGGCAGGGGGTTGGACTAGACTCCTGAGGTCCCTTCCAACCCTCATTTTCTATGATTCTTTGATTCTATGGTCATCTGTGGGCCAGTGTGGCCAACCTAAGCACCCATAGGTCAGTTGGGCTGACCCAAGAACCCACAATTACTCAAACCAAAGCAAGGACCCGCAAATCAGTCAGGCCAACATGAGTAACCACAGGTCAGTTGGACAGAACCAAACACCCACAAGTAAATCAGGCCAACCCGAGCACCTGCCAGTCAGTAGGACCACCCCAAACACTTACGCAGCAGCTAGGCAGACCCAAACACTGACAGGTCAGTCAAGACAACCCAAGCCCTTGTGGGTGAGCAGACCTGAGCATCCATAGAACCATCAGACCAAGGCAAGCACTTAAGGGTCATTTGGGCTGACCTAAGCACCTGCTGGTCAGCCAGGCCAAAGCAAGCAGCTGAAAGTCAATTGAGCAGACCAGAGCACCCATGAGCCAGTTAGACTGATCCGAGCACCCATGGGTCACTAAGGCTGACTCAAACACCTGCAGGTCATATTATATACTATAGTGTATATGTGCCCAGGCTGACACACTGGCCCAGGGAGACTCAAACTGGGAACCTGAACATAGAAGCATCTAAAAAATTAAGGGCCCTGTTTTGAAAATTGGGGTCTAACCCCTCCATGCCTCAGTGTCCATAGAATAATAATGATCTCACTTTACTGTCCAAGAGGAATGAGGAAGTATGAGACGGTGTCTGAAGGACAGCTGCTCCCAGGGTCCAGAATAAGTGCAGGGTTGGAGCAGAGGGGAGGTGATCACAGCTTGACACACAGCTGTTCCATGTGCATCTAGCTCCCCTACACAGCCACCAGTACTCCCCAGACAGGGGTCTCTGCCACAGGGCCCCGTCCCCCTGTGAACATCTGGTACAGCCACAAAGGGCAGGTTATTAGCCGGTGTTTATAAAAGAAAGGCAGGAACTCTGGGTCTGCCCTTGCAGGCAGGTCATTCCTTGCATGGTCCCTTGCAGTGGTTTCTATGGGTACTCCTGCTGTCACCTCACAAACCAGCATGGAGGTGTAGCTCTTGGAGCCAATGTCACTCCCTACCAGGGCCTTGGTCCCATATTGTGGGGGATGGACTGCTACAGGGAGTTGTTCTGATTCCTTCAAGCTGGCCAGAGCCTCAGAAGCAAGTCTAGAGCGTTCAGCA